GTTTATCAATGCAGAAGGAAACAGGAGTCCCAATTTTTGGATTAATGTGGAAATCAAACAGATGGGTGCTGTAATGGATAGCAAACAAATGTCAGTAGTGTGAGACTTGGATTTCATTTACACATCCCTATTGGTTTTCCATTTAAAACTGGTAGTAAGCAGTAGCTGGCTGATGGGTGGGTTAGAGGAGTATTGGATTGCAGGATAAGGTCTCTGGTATCCGGTAAGCCGTGGTCAATTTGTTTTGTGAGTTCCTAACTTTGTGGATGACAGGGTGTACATCCTGGAGTAGGGAAGTCCTAAACTTTCAAAGTGGGGCTTGGAGCAGTGCATTTTGGGCCAAGAGCAGTTTATCTTTCCTGAAGTGCTGGATCCAGAACAATACAGTTTTCTAAAGTAGGTTTAATGAGAGCTTTATACAAATGTAATACAGTTCCCATATCTTTTTTTCTAGCCTCCTTGAGATTTTTTTGTCTTTATTCAAATGTGGGATGTGGTTGTTGCTGGCTGGGACAGCATTTATTGTCGGTCTCTAGATACCATTGAGAAGATGGTGGTGAGGTGTCTTCTTCTTGAACTGCTGCAGTTCCATTAGGGAGACAATTCCAGGATTTTGACTCAATGGAACCATAGGAATGGTGATATATTTCCAAATCAGGATGATGAGTGGCTTGGTGGGGAACTTGCAGGTGGTGGTGTTCCCATGTATCTGCTGTCTTGTCCTTCGAGATGGAAGTGGTCATGGGTTTGGCAGGTGTTGTCTAAGGTGTCTTTGTAAACTTCTGCTGTGAATCTTCTAGATGGCACAGACTGTTGCTAATGAGCATTGGTTATGGGTGGATGTGGTGCCAATCAAGCAGGCTGCTTTAACCTCCATGGTGTCAAGCCTTTTGAGTACTGTTGGAGCTGCACTCATCCAGGCAAGTGGAGAGTATTCCATCACACTCCTCACTTGTGCCTTGTAGATGGTGGACAGGCTTTGGGGAATCAGGAGATGAGTTACATGCTGCAGGATTCCTAGCTTCCAACCTGCTTTTGTAGCTACTGTACTTATATGGCTAGTCCTGTTTGATTTCTGATCACCCCAGGATGTTGATAGTGGAGATCCAGTGATTGTAATGGCATTGAATGTCCAAGGGGCAATGGTTATATTGACTCTTATTGGAGATGGCCATTGCCTGGCATTTGTGTAGTGCGAATGTTACTTGACACTTTTTAGTCCAAGCCTAGATATTGCCCAGATCTTACTATATTTTGATATGGACTGTTTCAATATCTCAGGATTTGCAAATGGTACTGAACATTATGCAATCATTAGTAAGCATCCCCATTCTGACCTTATGATAGAGGGATGATCATTGGTGAAGCAGCTGTAGATTGTCGGACCTCAGAAATTACCCTGAGGAACTCCTGCAGAAATGTCCTGGAGGTGAGATGACTGACCTCCAAACTTCCTTCATGGTAGGTATAGCTCCAACCAGTGGAGAGCTGTTCCCCTTTATTCCCATTGACTCCAGTTTTGCTCAGGCTCCTTGGTGCACACTTGCTCAAATGCAGCTTTGATGTCAAGGGCAGTTGCTCTTATCTCACCTCTGGAATTTAGCTCGTTTGTCCGTATTTGAACCTGTATTGAGGACAGGACCTGAGTGGCCCTGGCAGATCTTAAACTGGGTGTCAGTGAGCAGCTGCTAAGCATGTGTTATTTGATAGTAGTGTTGATGGTACCTTCTATGACTTGCTGATGACCAAGAGCAGACTAATGGAGTGGTAATTGGCTGATTTATGCTGCTTTGTGTACAGGACATACGTTGGCAATTTTCCACATT